AATGTCATTAATAAACAACCACTGTAGAGAAATTCTGTGTAGAAGTAATAATTATATAAACATGACCTTGTGATGAGCAATTGCAGAACTCATGAAGATTTTTCAAGACCTGACGGTCTCTGAGCATGGAGAGCCCTGTCAGCAGCAGAGGGGAAGGTCTTCCAAGAGTCATGTGTTGGAGTGGGCAGAAGTGGTGACTCTTTCCGTGGGGGGAGAGAAGGGGACAATCCCACTCTTACGTTTCCCTCCCCCTTGATTTAAGGCAAATACAGTTGTAGTTGGCAGTTGGTTCTGCTGCAGGGGTGGCATCAGCCTTGAGAGGAGCTGCCCTCGGTGTGGTTGACAGCTGAAAGTTTAGTTAAGGAAGGGAAGTCTCCAAAGGATGCTCTGCTCTGCACAGGGCACCTTGCCCTCCACACAACCCAGTAGTGAACCAGGAGGAGAACTTTGGCTTAGTTGGTCTGATGTCACTCACAGACAGAATTAGGGGAAACATGATAATAAGATCTAATTAATAATGAACAAGAGGATGGAATATAATTAATAGCAGTCAAAAAGAATTTAGGGAAAATGGGTCTTGTGAAAAAATTTTTTTCTCCCAAGTTTTTGAAGAAGCAGGTATCTGGGTAAATGTGATAAGTATGTAGGGGTTTTGTCCTAGAACAACGTGACCCTAAAAAATGTGATCGTGATAAATAGATTAAAACTACATTTCACATTTCAAAAAGCAGTTGTCAAGGAAAAGCCTCAAAGGCAGGAGGCTCCTTTGAAGGCCTGGTGCTGTTCAGTGTTTTCATTTGATTTGGAGCAAGCATGAGCTTAAACCTCACTAAATTCACAGGCAATATGCACATTAGAGGTGAATGTATTGGGAGTGGGAGAGCTGTATAGAGCTGTCTGGAGTTCGGCTTGCTTTCTCTTCAAATAAGAGAAATTTGCTTACATATTTCTTAATATAATGTTCTACAAGGTCATACCAGCAGGACAGGTAGAGACTGCACAGCCTCCAGGTGAGGTGTGATGTGACCAAGAGCTTGATGTGGCCTTGGGACATGCCAGCAGAAGCAGTGAAGACGAGAGTACAAGCTGATTTTTACCTTGTGTACACATTTCTACACTGAAATGCAGACTCTGGTTCTGCTGTGCAAGTTCTCAAAAGGTCGTTTAAAACCTGGGGAGGTCATAAAAAAGGCTCAAGGCCAGGAGAAAAAAAAAGCCAGAGTATGAGAGACATAAAGATCTCAGTGTGTTTAACTTGTCAAAATAAGATTGAGAGAGAACTCAACTGCACTGCAGAAAAGTCTCTGTGGTGAGAACACAAAGCACAGAGGAGAAGGGCACTAAAAAAACTGATGGGTGAAAGCTGAAATCAGGCAAACTTAAGTCACATCTCTAAATGTCAGGTAGTAAAATAAACTGTGCAGGCAAATGGCAGATTCTTCATCTCTCGGTATCTTCAGATCCGGAATGGATAGTGCTGTAGAAGATTTTCTCCAGCCAAATGTAAACTGTTTGGCTGAACGGAGCAAAATCTAAGCTCCTGTCAACACTGAGAACTTGGCAAATGACTGCTGGGCCCTTCTGGCTCTTGGCATCAGCGAGGTGCTGTGTCTCTTCATCCTGGATCTTTGACCAAAAAATTTCTCCTTCCCAAGGTCATCCCGAAGGACAATCTGCTCTTCGGTGATGTGTTGCACTGCAGGCTTGATTGACTGCTTAACCTTTGTTGTTTACTGCTGAACTGGAAAAGGTGCAGGGAATAAATCTGGTGATGCTGCAGAAAACGTCAATACTACTCTTATTTGTTCAGATACTGCCAGCTAATTAAGACAAATGATTTTGCCAGGCAACACCCACGTAGATGCATCTCATTTACCCTCTGATTTGCAAAGGTGTCAGAGCACAAAGATTTGAGGTAAGGGAGGAGGCACAGCCCCGATATGATGCTCCACACTGACCAGAGAAGATTGCTGGTAGGTGACTGTTGCTTGTGAAATATTTTTTGGCCTGAAGATGCTACTTGGTCCATATTTCTTTCCCTTCTGCATGGACCCTTTCCAGGTGTGCTACTCCTGATGTGCCCTCCTCTCCCAGCTCAGGGGTGTAAAAAAAAAAAAAAAAAAGTTTGACAAAAGCGTTTATGTGGGTAGTTCAGGAATCTACATCTGATGGCATCTCTGGGGCTTATGCTGATCTGTTACCATGTTTCAGTCTTGCCTCTGGCTGCAGTGGTTTGGGGCCTTGCCTTTTTGGCAAAACAAATTTCTCCCCTTCTGCTAAAGGAAAACTTGTGGCAAAAAGAGACTACAGGGGGATGAAAGGTTGAAGAAACCTTTCTCCAGAATAATGGATGCAGGAGTTGCTGTGCATTTCAGGAAAAAGAGGGAGGAACAAAGGATTCTTGTCATCTGTTCCTGTTGTCTTGTCTTCCAGAGTTTCTCCATTATACTTTTTTTTTTTTTTTAAATAAGAATATCCATGTGCCATAGCTGTAAAAGCAATCAGGTGTGCTAGAAAACCACCCACTCATAGACAGCCAGCAGTGAAAAACTGAACTTGCCCCATGCCAGTTGAATCGTCTCTGGCACAGTGCTCAGGTGCTGCCCTTGGTTTTGGGCCCTTCTGCTTTAAGCCCCTGGCTTTGAATCTGGAGATGGCTGGTAGAAAGCAGCAAGCACCTTGGATTGTTCCAAAACCTTGCTCTGTCCCAAGCCTCTCATTTGTTGCCAGCTGTGGATGAATAGTCCTTTAAGTTGGAATGCCTCCAGGCACGTCTCGGTAGATTGGGGAAATAAGAGATTTTTTTTTTTTAAGCAGATGTTGCATAGCTGGGCAACGGGGCATCTTAAATTTGTTTCCTGCATTTGTGTCATTTGCTGTCTGACACTGGCTACCAGCAGGACTGACCTGGAGGGGCAGGAGGATGAGTGTTCTGAGTGCACACGTGAAGGGGGGGCACGTGCAGATGACTAAAAGATTGTTTGTGGAGGTGAATGTGAGAGACAAATTCAATGGACCATCAATTGTGCCCGCAAGGCTGTGGGATGCTCCCAGAAAGGAACCTACAGACCCCATCAGAGGCTCCAGTGAGCTGCACAAGGCTTTAGAAGGTGCATCAGAGGGAGCTGCTCTGCAATGGTTGGGGGAATAGGCACAACCATTTCACAGGGCTTTGCTTTTGTTGATGCCCATGTTGTTACTCTTGCCTGAAGGTCTGGGTTTTGAAAGCACATGAAAAATATGTTTTATGTTTGTGTGACTTCCTGATTTATACAATGTGCTTTGTAATTGCTCAGGGCACACAAACAATACAAACTGTAGTTAATGTTAACCCAGAACATGCACATTCCATCCCCTTAGCCCATAGGGACATGCATGCACGTGCTGCACCATATGTGGGGACAGCAGCTGGTGCAGAGCCCTGGGGCCAACACATTTACCCAGTTGGAAACCTAATGATACCAGAGGAAAAGGTACTTTATAGCTGTATTTATAGGAGAATTTCTGTCTTTGCATTTCAGTGTAGATATAATTTGAGAAGTAGGGTAGGAAGCATTTCTGGTATCTTACTGAAAGTGCCTGTTCACACCAAGATCTAAAGAAAAGTATTTTAGGTCAAGCAGACTGCTACACAAATAACAGAGTTCTGTGTATTTTAGACAGGTTCTTACAGATACCCTGTATTTCCAAAGTAGTTTGGAAAGTGATACCCAAGAAGTTCTACCTGAATATGAGGAAGAACTTCTTTACTGTGTGGGTGACCCAGCATTGGATCAGGTTGCCCAGAGCAGTTGTGGAGTCTTGGTCACTGGAGATATTCAAGAACCATCTGGACACGATCCTGTGGTCTAAGATGATCCTGCTTGACCAGGGAGGTTGGACCAGATGACCCGCTGTGGTCCCATCTAACCTTACCCAGCCTGTGATTCTGTGAAAGACTTGTTTTATTTAATATCTGGGGACCCTGAGTTCTCTAGGCTCAGTAGCTGGGCCATTTCTTCTCCAGGGGTGGTCCTTGAACAGCTGGTGGGTTTGGGAGAGCAGTGTGGGCCAGAGGTTTGTTTCCTGAATCCACATTAATGGCCAGGCATCTTTAGAGGATTTAGATAATTCTGCTTTGTTCAGAAAACTTGTAGCAGATGTGTTTCAGGATGAGTGCTCTACGTAGGATGAAATCTGGAGCTTCCTAACACCAGCTACAGCAATTAATAGTAATGGTATTCATTACATATTCATTACATAACTTGGTTTGTTCTGAGAAACAGACTGCTAGAGATGGAGGATGAAAATAGCAGCTGTTAATTTCAGAGGGCTGAGCCTCTGAAGACTGCACCCAGGAGGAACCAGAACCTACTTAATTCCCTTTATGCTGTAGCTGAGGGCGTCTACCAAGGGGAATAGTTCTCTCCAGGGTTTTCCACTGCTGGTGGCTTTCTGGTGCCACCAGGGAACATTTTGCCTGTGCCCAACTATTCCCCTGTAGCCCGTCTGGAAGGGCTGCTGCCTTCACAGCACCTCTGGTGCTGCCTGGCCTTTTCCTCCCCTCTGCTCCTTTGATGAACACCAGCACCTGCCAGTCTTTGTTGGCAGCAACAGGGGATTTGGGAAAGGCTTTGAGGCAGGGTCAGGCTGTGCACCTCAGCTGTGCCCGTGGTTACCACTGCTGCATTCCCTGCCTGGGCAGCTCTGTGTGCAGCCAGCTGGAGTGCATGCCTGCTCCATGGATAATTGTTTGGTACAAATGGTTGGAGCAGGTAAGGTGGAGTGTATGCTTTGAGTATCTTCTGGGCCCTGGCTTGGTGGAGCACTGAGCCTGTTCCAGATGTGACTGGGAGCTGCTGAAGAAGCAGGACTGAGTAAGGAAACACTGTCTGACAGCAAAGTACTGCCAGATGCCAGGCTGGTCTTTTGAAAGACCTTCTCTGCTTCTCCTTGGCTGTGTCATTGCAAAAGGCTCTAGGAATAGAGGCTGACTGCCTTTTCTCCCCGTGTGTTCCTAGATGGCGATGGTCGGAGGCTGAAGGGAGCCATCCAGAGGAGCACAGAGACCGGGCTGGCTGTGGAAATGCCCAGCAGGACCGTCCGCCAGGCCAGCCACGAGTCCATCGAGGACAGCATGAACAGCTATGGATCAGAGGGAAAGTAAGTCATCAAAAGGGAGCTAGCTGGGTAATCACTCGTGGGATGCACTGTCCCTACACCTATTAATTTCCTTGCAGCATGATGGATGGTGTGTTCTTCTGACTTGCTTATGCTGCAGGTGTACTGCCCGTTCAATTAGAGCAGATCTCTCTGCAGAGCTGGCACGTCCTTTAGCTGTTTATATACTTTTTTTAGTATCCTCATTATTCTGGCTGAAGCAGATACCCATTACTTTTAACCACTTTGCCTTTGGAAGAATGATTCAGGGTGAATAGCTGAGGCTCATTACTGGTCATAAATTATAAGCCAGTGGTTTCTAATATTGCACAATAGTTATACATTTCCTCTGTTTCAAAATAGCCCTTTGGTTTGGGGCAGGGGGAGGTGTCAAGGTGCTGAAAAGGGTCAGAGTAACAATGCATTATAGCACATAGCAAAATCATATCAAAATACATATTTAGAAGCCTGTGTATACTTTGGTAACAAGCTTTATTTTATTTCATTTGAGTTCATGTCCTAAAAGAACGTGTTGCAGAAAACATTTTTGACCCCGTAAAAAGTTAAGACACACTTTGTTGCATTTAGGCTTTATACCAGAATGCAAAGCAGGAGTCTTTAGGCCAGAACTTTGGGAGCTGACTTGTCTCCAATTCTGGTTTTTGTATTTGCATTATTTGAGGCCATATATGGAGATTTATTAATTTTATTAAGATGACCATTCATGGGAATGTTTGGAAGCAAAAAAACCCACAGTATTTAAAAAAGAAGGCAAAATATACCATCAGAGTCTGTGCTTCTAGATGTATACAAAATGTTTGTATACCTAAAACGTGCTCTGTTCAGGCCAAGTTTCACACTTGGCATTGCTCTGTACACTGGAGTCCTGTGTGGTATTCCAAGTACACTGTACAGCTAAAATGCTGGGATAGTCCAAAGGCACTCTCAATTAATGTGATTCTGATGTTAAATAAGTAACAGCCTGTAAATTAAGAGAGACTTTCTTTAGCTTTGGAAGTAGGCTAATCCTGGAAAGGCATCATAGATCTGTGCTGAAGGTTCAAAATAGTAATGAGGCACAAGCTGTGATAGCAATCTTGTCACTCCAAAGCTGTGATGTACCTTATCTCTTCTGCGAGCTGCTGTCTCCAGGGAAATATTCCTGCTACACCAGTACAGTCCCGTGGCTTGGAGTTCTGCCTCTGCTACTTGTTGCAGGGGATTAGTGATTAAGTTCAGTCCCTTGGCAATGCGGGGCAAGAATCTGTCTTCATGCAGAGCAGAATTCTTTCCTTTTTCTGTTTACACAGCTTCCCCTCCTGGGAAAGGGTTTAATTCCTTGCATGGTCTGTGTCCTGTCATTGCACATGCTGGCTGCTTTCACTGGGCTTTCCTGGGGGGGAGAGTATCTCTGCCAACAAACTATTGCACCCGTACAAATGCTGCCTCACCCTGAAGGCAGGTGACATGTCGCTGTCAGCTCAGCAGAGAAAGGGAAGCCCTGCCTTGCTGTCCAAATGTCTTTATTAGAACAAGCCCAACATTTGGTATTCCAGCCTCGAAACGCTGCCAGAACATCCTTGCCAGCGCCTCTGCCAGGGATGGGATAGTTTCTTCTCTTCTCTGAAAAGTGTGATTAAGTGGTTCCTGGATGCTTTGTTCCTAGGTGGGATAATTAATCTCTTCTGGGAAGCCGGTGGGAATTGCAGCTATCTGTCTGAGCCACGAGTGATAAGCAAACAGGGCTGAGAATACAAAGAACTAAGAGGACTCAATTCTCTTGAAACATGGTGGGAGGGGAGTTTCTCTACTTTCTTTTCCTGCAGCAAAGAATGGAATTGTTTGGGGAATAGCTTTGAGGAACAGAAATGTGTTCTCCTAAATCAGATTTCTCTTGACCTCTCTCATTTGCTGTAGCTGTCTTCCCGGGGAGGCAAAATGAAGGGTCATATATCTTGGTTAGCTGTGGCAAGTTTACTTTCTTTCTAATAAAAGCTGGGTTTCTGACTGATGCAGGTACTCCCAGGTCAGAGACAGTTTTCACCAGTTAGTGTCGAAAGTCTGGTTTTCAGGAAGACAAGCCTGCCCTGGTTCTTCCCACCTGAACATCCCTTCGGTGTGTTTGCACCTGGAAGAAGATGGATTCAGTGCCTCATCTTCCAAGAGGGCTTGTTTCTCTACTTCTGTATGTTTTTATAATCCCTTTCAATTTAAGGACTAAAAGGACAACTTCCAAAGGTGGCACACTGAAATAAGCAAAGATCTGGTGTATCTGTGCTGCAGGAGGCCCCAATACCTGCCCTCAGCCACACAAAATGCTTTTAGAAAGCGATGCTGACTGACTGCTTTCATGTTTGTTGCAGCTGCTACAGCTGCTCTGTGCCAGTGCAAGGCATCACAGTCAAAGAATTTTCTGAAATGCATAATTTTAAGCAATGCTTATTTCATGTGAACACCAGAGCACATGAAATCCAGGGTTTTTTTGTTTTGGTTTGGTTTTTTTTTATGGAGAGCATATTATGTAGGGGTATACCTCTCAGGTATGCTAGGCCCTCCTTCAACAAAATAATCCCTTTACCTGTAGATGAAGTATATAGAAGATTAGCTGGTATGAAAGATGCATCTCCTGGAATTTAAGCTCATACAACATGCCAGTAAGTGCTCACAGTGTGAACACACTGCTTCATGTAATTTTTTACCAACCTTATTACCCAGGTTTTACATTGCATAGTGGTTCTGCACTAGCATAGGAAATTAGTATAATAAAACTCAACGCAGGTTTTTGTGGAAGGGAAAGTAGGTATTTATTTATTCTAAACACAACTGTTTTCAGTCATTCCCTTGTCTGGGTTTCACTGGCTCCCGCTCTCACCGCCCCATGCAGGCACCAAGCCTCGTGCATCCAGGGCTGTAGCCAGGATGGATTGTGTGCTGCAGGGAGGACCAGGAGCACCATCTGTCAAGCCCTTGCTGTGTCTGCTGAGTTGTTCTTCACAACAGACTGGTTCTTGGACTGTTTTTTTTCTTACACTTTCTAGGACTTACCTGCTATTTCAGAGTGATCTTTCACCTCGGGGTCTTGCTCTTTTTGATCTCAAGCAGCACTGACACCTTTTTGTTCCCTTGTTTGGGGGATTTTTATGGCTACAGTCTGCCCTCAGACAGGCTGTGGAAGTGATGTGCTCTCTATCTAACCTGGTTGTCCTTCTCCTGTCATTGAAGGACAGATCTGCTGCCGACAGGTTGATTGTGCTTTCACACACACACAGATGTTTCCATTCATAGTTCATCCAGACCAATCTTAGCACTGGTTACAAATCTCTACAGCAGTGAGTATTTTCTTCAGTGAGTATATATCTAAAAATTTGCTTGAGAGAACAGTTGTGCGCTGTAGCAAGTTCCTATCGGGTAGTTTCAGGACACCAAGATTACTGCAAGGATACAATTCCGAATATAGGAATAACTCACAAACAACCCCCTGAGATTCAGCAGAGATCTCAGCTCCATCCTGGCTCTTGCACGATCTACATCTTGTTTTGGCTGGGTTTTGCTGCAGCTGCACGACACCATGTACAGCATTCAGAGAGCAATAGATTCTGGACTTGCGTGTAACTTGCTCCTGCCAACCACTTTTCTGTCTGAAAATGGAGCAGAAAGACAAAAATGGACCTGGAACAAAAGCCTGCTAGCTGCCATAGTGCCTAGTGAGTTGTACTCATAGTGTTTTTGTTCTTGCTGGCTACTGCTGAGATGATTAAGTTATGGAGAGCTCAGGTGATTTTTACCTTAGAAAAGCACAGCAGGGGGTGACTGGCAAGGCCTTAGAGGATTGTTCTTGTACTATCTGAGATGAATGTACCTGTCCAGCAAGGAGGCATCTTGTCAGCCATATCATCTCTCTCTTCCACGGGGAGGGCAGCACCAACCTGAGCCCTGTCTGAAGGCCCTGTTGTGACAAAGACAGGAGGGAGAGGACAGCCTGGCATGTGTGCTGTTGGCATGGGAATCTTAAGCCCCTCAGCTTTCTCCTGTCTCGTGCTGTTCCTGCAGGCTTGTACCAGTTCTCCCACTGGGCATATGGGGCTGGTGTGAAGCAAAGCTGGGACTTAGGCTGGGAGAACTGCCTGCCCTTCTCTGCTTCACTGTGGAGCAATAAGTACAAGGAAGCTGGAGGAAATAGTGACCTGGCTTCTAACTTCACTTTCCTTCACCAAAAATTATCCACTGCCATTCAAGAATGATCAAAAGACCTGATTCCTAAACACACCATTCAACAAATTCTCACTGCAGCTATTCACGGAATGTTTCTTCTTTGACAGCCAAAGCCAGGGGACTTCTAGACTCTTTTACAGCAGATTATCTTTGGGACTCTTCTTTTATCCAAGTCCTTTTAAAAATGTAATGAAAGGTATTGTTAATACAGTTCAGGCTATAAGAAATCGATGCCTTTCGAGATGGTAACCAGGAAAGGAATAGAGATTGTTTCTGTAATACATCAAGAAATTCATCAGCCTGTTGAGCAACAGCATATCCTTTTGTGCTGGTAAAGCTTGACCAGCACAGCTTGGAAAGGGTGTGACCTTGAGAGCTGTAGTTGCAGCGGTAAATGCTGTGTATCCCACCTTCAGCAACCTCTTGGGAACAGACAGAATTGCTCTCTGAAGACAGGTAGCTATCTTTTATTCAGTGAGTCTGAGATGACTAGTGATTGCTAAAAATGGAGCTCGCCTGGCAAGGTGGGGAAGGGAATGGGGGAGGTCTTTGTACAGAATTCACTGCATAGTTTTTATAGCACTGTTTCGGTGGCAGAATTCATACAGCAGAAGGAATCGGATACGGGAGCAGAGTACAATGTGTTATAGCACATAAGACAGCACGTCACAGTGCTAAAAATGTTACAGAAAAGTGGAGTGGCCAGGAGAGGAGCAGAGCTTGTTGAGAGGCAGAGACAGAGATATTGCCTGGCAGAGGAGAGGTGTGCAGTCAGTGGAGGGGTTAGGGTG